AATCTATCTGGGGTATGATCGATATTTTTTCCGGAGTATTATAACAACCAATCAAAACGAACTTCTTCAATGCTCGGTCCTAGTATATAACCATCAACATTATACGACGCGAGTTTTCTCTTTTTTGACGTGCGTTCACCCTGTCGTGACATTATTTACATATATACTTCTTTTTAAAAATCTCACAGCAATGTTAAATGAGTTATACCGTGGCCAAGCAGGTGATGATCACAAATAGTTAAATGATACAAGAGAACAATACTACCTTTCGATTAATCTGATTGTGTTGCAGAGCTCGTCGTCTACCTCAACAGCAAGGATCCGCCTAACTGGTTCTTTTTTGACTTTCTTTCCTCAAATTTCGAAATGATCGTTAATTCGCCACCAGACATCAACGATATTAAGGGTCTTTCTGGCACTTGGTTAAAACGTTTCAAGCTTGAAGTAGAGGCAAGAGGTCATCAAGTTAATAAGGTACATAGAAGGCACCTTCTGCCAGGTAATACCTGAGACATGAAGTATAAGTAATTTACTTGCCGAGTGCTAGGGGGTTTTTAAAAAATCTTGCTAGGTAGTACCTGAGTCAAGAGGATCAGTAATTACTGCTCCTCCTATGTGCGAATTTTCTTTTTATTATGCTTTTTAACTTCTGCCAGGTAATACCTGAGACATGAAGTATAAGTAATTTACTAGGGAGATTTTCAAAAATCTTGCCAGGTAGTACCTGAGTCAAGAGGATCTGCCCTTCTATGTGCGAATTTTCTTTTTATTATGCTTTTTACCATGAATCTCATTTTAATATTATTCGTAAGGATAATAATATTATTAGGATACAAAAATTTTTTTTCGAAGTAGTTTTCACTCAAATGGAGGTTAGTGATTCAAGCTGGCTTAATCCTTTTTCATTAGCATATTGACACCTTTAATTATTGCAATAGATCGTACGACAACAAAATATTGCAATTTTGAAGGTAGGTCTGAAACGATCTTATACCTATAATTATTTAGCAGGTTTAATAGAGCTTATTCATAATTCACGTAATTAGTCGAAGGCTAAGATTATTGCGGATGTACAAGGTATCCACCTTGTAGAAACATCATATAGATTTTACGGTTCTGAAATTATTGCAGAATATTCACATAATCAGTCAAGTCCAAGCAACCAATTTTTAAAGAATAAACGAAGTGCGGACGATTATGGATCGACTCCTCCAAACAAGGTTAGGCTATAACATGAATTTAACTAGCAAAAAACACCTTGTAAATCTTTTGCATGTGTGCATAGATCAGAACTATCAACAAGGGGACTTCTCAACAAAAAAGATACGATAGTGATTCACCACCCCATGACGAAGATTATTTTTTTTCTGACTCTGACTCCGAGATTATACCTGTTTCTCTTACGAACGTTTTTCTTGAAACTTCCATCGAGCATGAAAGGAACCCAGACCAGACAGCCGAATTGGATATATCTTTAATATCAGTAAAGAAAGCGGAAATTAAGAGTCCGAAAACCAGAAGACCATATATCACTCGTGATATAGCGGAGGAAGTTCTCAAGAAATATTAATGCGTATTTTGGCAGGAAAGAAGTTAACATACAATGGTGTAGACGTGTTGAATTTTGTTCGTTCAAACATGAATAAAAATAAGACCACAAAAAGCCCTTTATGTATTGGTGTTATTAACATCTATAATCCTGACAGCACCAAGTTTTTACCTGACGACTTTAAACGTTTTATTACCAACCAACTTCAAGACCAAGACTCCGAGATCAAGGCTGTCTGTTTTGCTACTGAATTAAGCATTGATAAGTTTGTAGTGAATTGTGAGAAAGAGGTATTGCAATTCTTGGAAAAGTTCAATGATATAGGGGATTTGGAGTCTTTGGCAAGATGTCTAAATAAAAATCTGATCAATATGTTCAACGCGTCAAACGACCTTATTTATGTGCGGACCCTCTTCGATCATTTCTTCTTCTTATACAAGAACGACATACTACTTAAGTCCATGTCTGAAAGCGAGCTTAATGCGTATATTTGGACTCCGCTACTTAGGAATGCCTTTCTCGGAAAGGATGATATGAAATTAAGTTGTGGGGAGCTAGCTTCTAAGTCATATGAAAAACTCAAAGAAATCCTAAACATTGCTGGTCGTAGTGCTCCAAAGTTAGATGGTAAAGGATTCCTTAAATCTTTAGGCACTGAAATCCTTGCTCAAGAAGACGGTGTCCTAAACATCCACAGCAAAAGGACAGGTGATCTTTGGAAATTAGAGTATCGCTCCAAAGTGACCCTCACAACCCTATTCTTTGCGCTCCCTTCTGCCGCCAAAGCTGATATTACGAAAATCGAAACTTACAATCTTCAATTGAATGGATTTCATCTCAAAATTTCTGCATCGAAGTATTTGTTTGAAGATACCATTGTTACAATGGATTTACAGCATGTGGAAGTTCCAAGGACCGTGGAGAGATTTTCTAAGCTAGTGGTTGGTGCAAAAACAATTCTGTCTTGGAAGGCGCGGACTAAGAATAATACGATGGCTTTTTATAAGGCATTGAGGAAAGGTCATAAACACCTAAAAAATGGTGCCTTTTTTTCACCAGTAAAGATATCTGTATAGATTGGATCTGAGTGGATTGTAAGTTCTCAACTTTGATATAAATTGGAATGATCTCGAAACAGGTTTGTCTATTGTAATCAAAATCCTTCAGGTTATTTTACCATTATGACACACATGACCTGGGTGATATATGCATATTATAATCTAAAATAAGGCTTTTCTATCATTTATATCGGTTAATTAGGCGGTCTCTTACTCTTAATATTCATTTTACAAAAATAAAGAATTATGCTTTGACCTTGTTAATTATACATTTCTAGTAAATTTCTTCATTATCATGGGTTCACTGACTCCGCTGATATGTTTGCGTATAGTGTTGTACTTTAGATTTAATTCTGTAATAAGTGTTGATCGATCGCACACCGATTAACCTTTGATTATTCTGTTATTCCGTGATTGTTACATTATATTACTATGAATCAACCCGATTTTCCAAGAAGCAGAATTTTTCCGATCGTAACTGCAGTCATGGTTTTTTCAAGTAACTTTTGCGATATAAAAAACCACATATGCTATATTTTATCATGTATTTTACCATGTATTTTTATCCTGTATTTTATTAATAAGGTGATACAAAAAAATTAATTGGTTTTCATAACATCAAAAAATTTTTAGTCCGGGGGTTTTTTTTATATGTCGGTCTCATAAGATCAGAAAACATGACCCATACAACCTGAAATTAAGTGTACCTGACCCTTTGATGCACATACAAACAGCATTGAAGAAGTTCGTTTTGATTGGTTGTTATAATGCCCCGGAAA